TGTATAACTTATAAATAATAATTTATTAATAAATATATCAAATTTAGAAAGAATATCAATATCTAATTCTTCCTCAATGTTATGAACCCCTTGTATTAAGATATTGTAGTGAATTCAAATTTTAACATTTAAATCCATCCCAAAAAGCATAAAATATATAAAATACATATGTTTGTAAGGGATTAAAGACTCACCAAAAATATAACATTGCAAAAAGTATACAGAAGTACAACTTGGGAATCAATTTGTTGTTGTGAGCACCAAGTGTATAGTTATGATGCCGTATATTAATATTAGCGTAATTAGATTTTGGTAACTGTTAGATTAGTTTCATCCAGACCATATATAAATTAGGGTTTTTGGACTAATTGATATGCACATTTTCTGTATTCCCTTTCTATATTCTATACACTCACATTGTGATATTATAAATATTTTTATTTACAGTATCAATTCCATAAATGAGAATTATATACTTGTAATGATGGTATTGCTGTTTGATGTTAAGACTTTTAACTTCCATCTTCATTTATAATACCTTTAAGTATGTTCTCTTTGCTTCCTTTCACTATGTATTTGTAATCCATACATTCATTAATTCTTGTTTTTAAAACTTGAGAAAAGTGTGAAGGTTGAGATTGTGGTTGTAGCATATGTGGTTTTTACCTTTTACCTTATGGTGGTTTATTATAGAATAATCATAGAGCAGAATATTAACCATTCACATGTTACATACCATATGTCTAAAGGTAGTGAAATGGAACTTGAGTTTTGGCACATTAGGCCACTGAACTAAAGGATAAAGCTAAACTCCCAAGCGTGTAATTAAGGAGCAAAAAAACTAAAGCACAGAGCAACTCTTGAACATTCAACTTAAAAAATAAAAAAGACATGAGCACAAAACGACATAAAAACAATGGAAGACAATGAAATTTCACTTGGAACTATGGAGGAAACTAACAAATAGAGAGTTTGAAATGGAAGACACCAAAGAGCTTGATAAAAACATAAGTGATATTTTGCAAGAGAAGCCAAAGACTAGTAACAAGATAATTATAAAAGTACTATCAACATTTAATTGTAGTTTATAGTGGTGCTTGTCACTTGGTGTTCCTCTTTTTAAATGGTAACTCCACATTTTATTTCTATTGTAGTGTTTGATGCTCGGCATCAGAGATAAAGTTTGTGAGTGAATTCAAGGGTTTAGGTTTCTATTTAATTGGCTTTAGATTTTGCTCCCTTTCAATTGAGGAGTCTTTCCAAAAACTGTCACATTGCTATAAGAACAATGATTGGTGTAGCAAGTACTTTGGAGTTCCTTCTCTTTTCTATCTGTAAACTTCTTTTTATTTGTTTCTATCAATAGATGTTGCTCTTGGTGTCTTGTGTAAGTTATCAAGTAATGAATGCAGGTTAAAGTCTCTCAAAAGGCATAGAAAATTGTGCACAAGAACGAACACTTCTACACTGGTGTCGTGAATGTGACTTCGGGTATCGAAAGTTACCTGTCAACTAGTCCTTACGGACAATCTTACCTTACTACCACGATGGCAGGAGGTTGGCATTGCTGGACCCTTTATCAGCCCCTCTTGTTCAAGTGTTAGTAAACTAGACTTTGCATCTGTACTTGGCCGGATGAGCATAAGGACGGAATTCCTATGTGTCTATTTAGCCAAGCATACTTGACCTGGCTTTTTAATTCTCTTTTGCTCTGTCTTGCACTGACTTGACAAGAACTCTTGCGTATTGAGATTGGTCCCTCAATATCGCTACATGATAGCTTACTGTGTCTGCCAAACACCCTTGCTATTATGCTCTTTGTGTTAGTCTCATTTCGGTCCCAAATGCTATTTATGGAAAGTGTCCAAATTTGCTCATTTGGCATATCTATAGAATCTAGAGATCGGTCTGAACATAATGGTGTTCATTCCGTGTCCAAATTCGCAATCTAAGGACATTCCATATTTAGTAAGTTTCGAGCTTGTCCCAGAGACTAACTCCTGATACTAAGGGAGGCTTGGGGTGAAAGCCCAAAGCATGTGTTCCTCAAGAGGGGGGTTATGGGGGGTTCCAAATGTATAGTAGGGATAGTGGGTATGTCGGGCATGGCCGACCAACCTGAGGCATAGTCTAACTCCCGCTTGCATGCCTGTCCTTGTTTTGCGTCTGGCTTGGGTCTAAGCCCAAGTTTCATTCCATGCTAGCTGATGAAATACCCATATCCTTGCGTTAGGCCATCGGTATGCCAAAATAGCACTAGACTCTGTTTGGCTCTGTTTTGCATACTAGTCCTGGCATTGGGATGTTAGTTGCTCTAGGACTGTTCTAAGTCGCTCCAGGCTCCTATCCCTTCGCTCCTTGGGCTTGCCTGTCCTTGTTCTGCGTCTGGCTTGGGTCTAAGCCCAAGTTTCATTCCATGCTAGCTGGTGGAATACCCATATCCTTGCGTTAGGCCACCGGTATGCCAAAATAGCACTAGACTCTGTTTGGCTCTGTTTTGCATGCTAGTCCTGGCATTGGGATGCTGGTTGCTCTAGGACTGTTCTAAGTCGCTCCAGGCTCCTATCCCTTCGTTCCTTAGGCTTTATACTCGGGAGTTGCTCCGTGGTTCGGTTCTATCACTCCTTGACTCCATGCTTGGGAGTTTGGCACCGTTCCTTCGTTCGGTGGCCCCAGGCCCTAAACCTCAGGTTCCTATGGACACATGGCATGGACACACGTGGCACAAAAAGGGTTTAGGTTCCGCTTCGTGGTGTTATCCTATAGTAAATCACCATAGGATAAAGGGTCAAACCACGTGCATGTAAGTTCCTAAATTTGGACTTCCAAGGACGCTTAACTTCAACTATCCCAAGACCCTTAACCGATTGGAAAAGGGGATGCACTCTTGTTCATGGGCCCTTTCCCTCTATATTTGAACCCTAATAGATCGTCTTTCAAGTCGTTCCCTTTGGTTGCTTACAATCCACCACGCTTTCCTGCAAGTTCACGCCCTCATGAATGGAAGCTAAAAGCCGCAGCTCTCCCGAGAGCCCCGCTCTCTTGACACCCTACCCTTCGGGTGGTGTGATTCCCTTAGCCAACCAGTAGAGTTAGTCCCAAACCCAAGGATGCTTAACTTCAACTATACCAAGACCCTTAACCAATTGGAAAAGGGGATGCATTCTTGTTCATGGGCCCTTTCCTTCTATATTTGAACCCCAACAAATTGTCTTTCAAGTCGTTCCCTTTGGTTGCTTACAATCCACCACGCTTTCCTGCAAGTTCATGCCCTCATGAACAGAAGCTAAAAGCCGCAGCTCTCCCGAGAGCCCTGCTCTCTTGACACCCTACCCTTCGGGTGGTGTGATTCCCTTAGCCAACCAACAGAGTTGGTCCCAAACCCAAGGACGCTTAACTTTAACTATCCCAAGACCCTTAACCGATTGGAAAAGGGGATGCACTCTTGTTCATGGGCCCTTTCCCTCTATATTTGAACCCCAACAGATCGTCTTTCAAGTCGTTCCCTTTGGTTGCTTACAATCCACCACGCTTTCCTGCAAGTTCACGCCCTCATGAACAGAAGCTAAAAGCCGCAGCTCTCCCGAGAGCCCCGCTCTCTTGACACCCTACCCTTCAGGTGGTGTGATTCCCTTAGCCAACCAACAGAGTTGGTCCCGAGACCCCTCTAATACCAAATGTAAGCTCCTGAATTTAGACTTCTCGGGAGGTCAGCCCAGTACTATTCAAACCCAAGGACGCTTAACTTCAACTATCCCAAGACCCTTAACCAATTGAAAAAGGGGGTGCACTTTTGTTCATGGGCCCTTTCCCTCTATATTTCAATCCCAACGGATCGTCTTTCGAGTCATTCCCTTTAGTTGCTTACAGTATGCTACAACTGATTAAGTTTTTTTGGTTTGAAAGTGAGTTAATAAATGGTTCTATTTCTCTCACTTTTCTTCTTTTGTGGCCTTCTCTCCACCATCGTGCATGACATTCCTTTTGTAGCCTTCTATATAGTTAACACTTTAACCTTCTCTTTGCTTTTGATGATTGTTCTTTCTTTTGTTTTTGTTCTGCTAATACTTCTTTGGCTCATCATTCTCTATGAAGCCTTCATGAAGATAGCCTTGAAAGTTGTCAATGGTGCTTATAGAACTTTTGTTCAATGGAGTGGCCAAAGGTGAGAGCTCCATGCAGAAAATTGCCTCTTTTACTCTTTCTTCTTGGCTGTGTTCCTGATGACCACTTTTGACATTGGAAAGGTATGCTACTGAACTTTATTTACCAGATCTTTATTTTTCCAGTGATTGCTTATGCAATCTAAGGTACACTGACTGGCTTGATGCTATCAATAAGATAAAAGAAAGAAGGAATTGGGGGACTTGTTGCTAACAGTAATTTCTAGATCAAGGCAGATCAGCAGATATCATTTTTCTATTCTTAGCTCAATTTTTTGCGACAGATATTTATGGAGATCAACTCAGAAATTATTATTATTAACAGGACTTTCGGCAAGAGGACTCGCAAGCAAGGACAGTGGTCCTATGCAACAGTTCCATCCAAGTATAGGTGTAGATGAGATCTCCAGATTGTATTGTGATTCAAGCTCTTTGTCTTTTTTTTCTAGGAAAAGAGCTTGAAACAGAGTTGCATCCTAGTGAATCCTCTGGAAAATGGTATAAGTTACTCTGAAGACAGTGTTTTACATTTATGTAGCCTTTTCAACTGTCAGTTTTGATTTTGTTTCGGATGATGCAAACTTCAAGACGAAACACTGGTTTGTTGACTCACAATGTTCCATGTTGGGGATATGTGCTACATTCTCTAATGACACTCTTTTTGTCACCTTTTCGATATTAATCCTTGTAGGTTAATCTTTGTTTTGCATATAGTTTGTCAGATTTGCTATCTTTGCATGCAATTCTAGCCGTGGCCGTAACTTATGGATATGGTTGCTTCGGCTCTACCCTTCCTTGTGCCAAGTTATGGCGTGCCATTTTGGAGAAGTCATAAACTTTCCACAAAATTCCTTTGATAAGGGTTCTCTATTATATAGTACAACCTTTAGAATCCACTGTGAGAATATACGGGCAAATGGTAGGAACTTTACGCCGATCGCAGCTAGGCACGAATGCTCCGGAGGGACATAGCGAGCACCCTGAAACAAACCAATGAGAATCCTATTGTCCCCAACGCGAAAGCAAAGGGTAGAATACCTTCCTATTGTAGATCGCCAGAAGATTCTTTACACCAGAAGTAAGAGGATTACCAAAAAGCCTGTGAGCGCAAGGCGGACGAGGATTCGTATCTTAGCTACAACCACAAGCATTGCCACCAACGCCACCGTGAGAGAGTAAATCTGGCCCCTGTTTATGCGAGCCACTTCCTTCCTACATAGTCTGCAAAAGGAAAGCAAGTAAAAAGGGCCATGAGAAAATGGCTTAGCTTGAGAGACCTCAGTTCCTTCATGGATTTAGAAAACACGTCGTCCGCAAGACGATGCTGCAAAGAAAAACCAAATTAAGGAAAGGAAATCTAAGAAAAGGTCTGCTTACTTGCTTCTGCACAGTGTCGTTCAGACTCTTAAGCTGCCTCATTATGTTTGTCAGCTCCTCTTGGTACTCATTGACAGCAGCAGTGTTCTGGGAGTTGGAAAACTCCACGTACTCCTCAAAAGTCTTCTGGTCACTTTCCAGTTGTAGTATCTGTTCGATGAGGAACTTGTTCACAGACGTAGTGGAACCACTAGTGGAATCCCCCGGGGAACTGCCAATCAAATCTTCAAGCATGCGCCCAAGCGCGACTCCAAAAACCTCGAAGGTGCTAAGCGTGCAGTAAAACTCCGTCCCATAGTGTGAGAGGATCCTCAGCTGGAGATATCTCGCCCACTCTGGCTTCGACAGAATAAACCTCTGAGGTTGCCCAACGTTCCTCGCCTCGAACTTTCCCAAGAGCCTCCATCCAGATGTAGGATAGCTCAGGCTTCCCAGCAGCTCCAGCTCCCTTGGATTGGACGAGTAGAGCTCGTAGTTGGCGATGACAAATGTTTCCACCAGAATTTCTTCAGCCAGCTCCACCATGACGAACTTCTCCTTGGCGCTGCATGGGTTCCGAAAGTACTTATCGTTGCCCTTGACGAGAATGTTGCCAGCACCCTTGCCTTCCTTGTTTGCCCCTAAAACTTTAGCACCGAGTGAGGCTGCGGCATAGTTGTGTTCGTTGCCCCCAACTTGGCGGTCGCGCTTGTGCCTGTTATCGTCGTCTTGATTCTCACTTGCTGAGACGAGGATATGCGAATGGAGAGGATTGAGTTCCGGACTAGCGAGAGGAACACTTCGTTCTTCCGCTAGCGCTGTGGCACGGTCGGGATCGAAGGGACTGACTTCTTCACCGTTGCTAGAACTCTGGAAATTTTCGCTCAGAGAAACAAGATGGAAGAAAGAAAAGGTACCTCAGCAGTGCGATTGCACGAAATATCGAGGAACTGCTCTTCCAAATCGAGAATCTGGTGATGCGCCTCCAAAATCTCGGGGATTGGAGCTTCATCGACCTCCGGAAGCTCGGAATGGAGCTCCATCCCGATCCCCAGTCCCGAGACGACCAAGAGAAGGAGCACCGCAAGACGTAGATTGCTCACCATGCCGGGTCAAGATGCGCTGATCGATCGACGGAAGAACCTGATCGGCGTCTCTATAAACCCTAGCCCGCGCCAGAGGAAGAACACATCCCTGAAATACCTTAGAGGAGAGCATCGGTGCCTAGTCCATCGCCACCACACCGCTGGCAGGATTCGACCCTGGAAACCATTCCCCGCCAGATTTAAATTGCGAATATTCTTTAGCCGGTACTTTTCCCGTTCTGCGAGAGAATGGAGTGTGACGAGATTCCACTCCGGCATACCTCGTGCACTCCGTTCTGCGAGAAAGTCACCAGCTTTGCCGTGTAGGAGATGAGATCCCACCCAGGCATAGAACCGAAGACGCCCTTTTCATCGTCAAAATGCCCCTTCTGGGCAAATGCCGTAAGAAGGACGTTCCAAGACACAGCATTTCTCTGCGGCATCAGATCAAAGAGGCCTTCGTGCCTTCGATGCTTCCATTCTATCAGATCAAGACCCGCAAGCCATCAAAGACCACTCTATGCTGCTGCATCGGACGGGTGGATCGCTCGCGCATCCTGCAGCTGGATCGCCCATAGCCAGGCCATCATAGATCAATAGAGGAGCGAGGGACCTCGGCTGGAAAACGCACCAGATGAATGACCAAGCCTGGCATCACGAGCTCCACATATCAGACCATTGCTAAGCAGCTCATCCAAAAGCCCTACTCTCTCTCTCTCTCTCTCTCTCGTGCACTATCCGATACGGTGTTAGGGTTTTTACTTTCATGATGCGGTGGTTCTGATCTTCGTAGTCTTGCTCTTCTGGTTCGTTTCAGCACAGGGGATGGGGATTGAGCTCCATTACGGGGATCCGGAGACCAATCTAGCTGAAGCTCTCCGATGAGCTCCACGCTGGGGGATGAAATGCAGGTCGGAGATTTCCGCAGATGCAGAGCTGACTTTGCCGGATCTTGCGCCGAGGTAGGCTTCTATGCTCATGTTTTCTTGTTGTGTAGTCATTGAGCTACGGCCTGTGGATCTTGGCACAGCGGCGAGTGAAATCTCGCACAACGTCGTGGAGGACAAGTATGCCACAGCCTCGCTGGGCGCCAAAGTTATAGGAGCGAACAAGAAAGCCGAGGTGGTATCTACATTCTCGTCAAGGACAAGGATAAGCACTTCCGCAGCCGAAGACAAGTTGGTGGTTGTGGAGTGTTCTTTGGCTGCTGCAATGCCATAGAGCTCTCCGAGGCCGCACATAGCAAATCCACCATAGAGCAATAGCTTCATGGTTTTGGAGAGATCAAGGGCGTCCATACCGTAGCCGGGCATCTGGGTGTACAGGGTGTTCCACGTGACGGGATCTGGAGCGTGCATTTCCCGGAAGGTGGACTCGGATGTGCCCGTTCTGGGCATATGCCTGGAGCCTGACGCACCACATCGCTCCTGTTTGAAGAGATTCTTGGCAAATGCCCCGACCATGCAGCTCCATGCTAGGATGGTCTTCTCCGGCATTGAGTTAGAGATTCTTCAAGATGCCCTGATTGGGCATATTCTTGGAGCAGGAAAGACTACAATAGCGTCCCATGCGGGCATCTGATAAGTTTCCAGCGTTTATACAGGCCTCTATTAGTGTGGTTCACGACACTTTTTATGAAATACTAAACGAGCTTTATCAAGAATGGGCATATGCTCTAATCAAAGCAGTCGCTCAAAATCTGGCATAGAATCAACTAAGCTGTTATCATTCGGTTTCTTCTCTGGGCTTCTTGGATATGCCCAGACTGGGAATATGCCTGGGTCAGAGAATTCGGCCACACCCGCTCTGGGCAATTGCTGTGAGAAGAACATTCCACGACACAACATTCCAGATCAAAGGGCCGCTTCGTGTCCTCGACATTCTGTATGGGCGATCCAGGCCAGCCTCCGATTTCTTGACTCGCTTCACGCAATTCTCGCAGGGGAACTGGAGCTTGAGATGCGCGGGACGATGTACAACGAGAAGAAAACAGAGAGCCAAGTTTGAATGCGTCGATTGCGACTAAGAAGAAATCGAGGCGTTTGATACTGGAATATTAGTGGTTTTTAAAATTTAGGGTTCGTGTCTTTTTCCCTCCATTTTGATGAAGCCCTAGCCCCGGCATTGTAGGGTTTCTTGTTCTATGGCGGGCGATCGTCGTCTTCCGGTGGTTCTGATCTTCGAAATCTTGCTCTTCTGGTTCGTGTCGGGAGCCGGGATCGGGATTGAGCTCCATTACGGGGATCCGGAGACCCATGAAGCGCAGATTTTCGAAGCGCAGCTCTCCGATGAGCTCCAGGCTGGGGAGGAGCGCGATGAAATGCAGGTCGGAGATTTCCGCGGATTCAGAGCTGATTTTGCCGGATCTTGCGCCGAGGTAGGCTTCTGCGCTCATGTTTTCTTATTCTTAAGTCATTGAGTTGCGAAACTTTCCAGCCTGGGGATCTTGGCACAGCGGCGAGTGAAACCTCGGACATCCTCGTGGAGGAAAACTATGCCGCAGCCTCGCTGGGCGCCAAAGTCATAGGAGCGAACAAGGAAGCCGAGGGTGGTGGCTACGTTCTCAACAAGGACAAGGATAAGCACTTCCGCAGCCCATGCAGTGCCGAAGAAAAGTTCGTGGTTGTGGAGCTCTCCGAGGAGACTCTGGTGGTCACCATCGCCATCGCCAACTACGAGCTCCTCTCGTCCAATCCAAGGGAACTGGAGCTCCTGGGAAGTTTGGAGTACCCAACCGAGGAGTGGAAACTCTTGGGGAGGTTCGAGGCGAAGGATGTGAGGATCCCGCAGAGGTTTACGCTGTCAGTACCGGAGTGGGCGAGGTATCTCAAGCTGAGATACTTGTCACACTATGGGACGGAGTTTTACTGCACGCTTAGCACCTTCGAGGTGTTTGGAGATGGCGTTGAGCGCATGATCGAAGGCTGGATGGGCAAGAGACCCATTCTCAACATCAGCTCGTCCAGTGAAGAGAATCAGTCCCAGGCACCATTCCAGAAGGTCTTCCCCAGAGTCCCTCAAGGTGAGAAAGGATTCTCGCAGGTTGTTTTGGTTGGAAAGGTCAGAGAGCTGGCGATGAAGCGGAAGATACTGTTGGATTACATTGACTACGTGAGGATGGTGCTCTTAGAGAACTCTCATCGAGAGATGCCGAAAGTGGTCTCGCGACTCGAGAGTGTGAAGATCGAGGTAAAACTTTTTATTTCTCTTAGTCATTTGCTTCTTTTTCCGTCTTTCTAGGTTCAGGCTGCAAGAGTGTTAGTGGACAACATCACGGTGCTTCAATTTCCGATCAAGTACAGCCATTCATTTTCTTTTACTCTATTAAAAAAAAATTATTTGCAGGCGTTGCGTGAAACAAATCAGAAACATTAGCGATCGGCGTTACTTTGTGGTCACCATGGCGTTCTTAGTAACAGTTTACCTCTTCCTCTCTAGCATGGCTATCCGTCAAGCAATAAAGCTCATGTAAGTATTGTCAAGCTTGGATACCCTGGACCTTTCTCTAACAGGATTCATTCCTGTTTAGGTGGCGGAGAATTTTCGGAAGCACTCGCTATGAACACTTGCTACGGGTAAGTATGAGGCAGAAGAATCTTTACTGAGACAAACTTTTCTACTCGTTCTCCAGATCCCCTGATTTTCTCTCCGGATTCCAACCCTCTTGAGCGCTTGCCCCGCGATCACTTGCGGGCATCTCCTTCATCTCGTCCACCACCTCCAATTCCAGAGGGCGGCGAGGACATCATATGCCTGCCGATAATCCAAAACCATAAGACGCTCTGGAATTTGCTTGGACGCTTACCAAAAGAATCGCCTTTGGAAAGCTCTCTTTCTCGCTGGAAACTCTTGCCGAGTGTTACATAATCTTTGGTGAGAAACAATCTCTTCAAAAAAATTCCCAAAAATTAATGCAAGTGTTAGATGAAAGTAGGCATCCTGAAAGTGACGGAAATCGAGTCTCCTTTACCCGGATCAGCTCCTGGTTACATATCCGCTTCTTCGGGACGATCATGGCTTCTTCCCGCAAGTGTGAGTGTAGAAGTGTCGCAGTAGCGATTCTTCCAGGCTCTCGTCTATAACAAGCAACACTGGAGGGGTGTCACTTTCGAGTCCGCCACTGGATCGTGATCATGAAGTCCTCGACGAGCTCACGAGCTCTGGCCAGTTATGCAAATCGTTGGTGTTGGCAGGGCCTGTCTTCTCCATTGCTGCTGTTGATCTTCTGGCAAAGCATGCATTGCGACTAGAGTCGGGTACTCTCTTCCTGGTGATAGCAGCGCTCCAAAAGCCAAGGTTGTTGCCTCAGGAGCTTCTTCTCGCTCAAGATAAACTTAAGAAGAGTAGAACAAACTTTACATACCACTCGAGATGTAAACATGAGTCAGCTTCATGGAGCCTGCTCGATCCAATGGTGCTTCTCGCTAGCCGTAGGCTAGCGATCATGAAAACCCTATGTGCGATCACTGGATTTGATGAAATGTGTATGTACTATTCCCCAATGCCCCTTAGGGGCTAAAACAACAGCAAGAGTGCATTCTCAGAGAGACTAACAAGACTACGAGCATGGACGCCCGGCGTTGCCCGTGGGCCGTCCACCTCCCAGGTGACTCGATTCGAACCCAGAAGGTGTCCTAAGAGATTTTAGGGTTCTTCCTACTTCAAACATCCGGCGGGAAGACATCAGGCCGAGCTAGGGTTGATGGCGCGCCTTCCGGCGCTGCCGCGCGTGCTCTTCATAATCTTGCTGCTGTCGGTCTGCGACCGGGCTCCATTCTTCGATCACGCAGATTTGCGATGGTAAGCGAGCTCGGCACGAGGAAAGCTCTCCGGACGTAGAGTACCAGATTCTCGAGTCCGATGAGCTCTATTTCGGGGATCTGGAGCGCGATGAAGCCGAGATTTCGGTGGAATTGGATGGCGTCGAGATCTTATCGGCTCGAACCGCTCTATCCGCTGCCGAGGTAGGCTTTCCCATGGTATTTTTTTTCTTATGGTTTCATTTGAGCTGGTTTTGAACTTTCCAGAGCCATGAGGAGCCTATGGAGAATACTACTGCCTGCGAACGACTGAAAAAGGTGACAACTGTTAGCTTGAAGGATTACAAAAGAATGGTGTCGTGGGCAAGCGAAAGTGACAAGTGGAACACCACGATCAAGCACAGGCTCGAGCCCGGGGGTGAGGAGTTCAACTTTGCCGCAGCCTCGCACGGTGCTCAAATAGTGACCTCAAGCAGCGATGGGGGTAATCTTCTCAAGGATAAGTACTTTCGCAGCCCATGCAAGGCCAAGGAGAAGTCTTTTGTCTTGCAGCTTGCAGAAGAAGTCTTGGTGGATACCGTCGTCATCGAAAATCACGAGCTCTACTCGTCCAATCCAAGGGAACTAGAGGTTCTGGGAACCCTCAGGTATCCTACAGAAAGCTGGAGGCTCTTGGGAAATGTCGAAGCACAGAATATTTGTCGACCTCAAAGGTTTGTGCTGCCGAAGCCGGAGTGGGCGAGGTATCTGAAGCTGAGGATACTGTCTCACTATGGGAACGAGTATTACTGCACGTTGAATCATCTGCAAATTTTCGGTTCAGGCCTTGAAGGATTGATTGAAGAAGCTCAACCTTACTGTGAGCAGCAGCAGCAGGTAAGAACGTTTTCGTGTCGACTTTGTGGTTGCTCACAGTCTTTCCATTTCCAGGATGCCACACAAATCCACAAATT